GGCAAAGAAGAAATTCAGCCGAGGCTAAGCAGATTCTAAGGGATTACATGGAATCATTGAAGGTTTGTCAGCGAGTCACATTTACCACCGCCGTGAAACCATGTGTACGGGTATGGTGCTTACAAACCTGGGATTCAAACCCACGAACATAGGATCCTTGCCTCGAGGCCAAGCTCTGCACAAAGAATAGCCACATCGTAGATGACTGGACACCTGTCTCCAAGGACAACAGTGAGTGAGTGAGTGAGTTGGGTTTAACGCTGCTTTTAACAGTATTACAGTTATATTGCGGCGTGTCACCTTAATGTAGGAGAAAAGCCCGAAGTGATGCAGGTCACAGACGTGTACCACTTTTGTGAAAACCACGAGCACGGGTATGGTGCTGACAAACCTAGAAACATAATCGGGGCGAACCGAGATTCGAACCCACAATCATAGGTTTCTGGCGTGCCCAAGGGACGCAACTCTGCACAGCGAATCGCGGGGCCTTAGACGACAGGATTTCTTTCGAATCTTGAGCATCGCCAAACAGCCTTCCCTTTCTTCTCAGGATTAGTGTCAAGTTTTTGAAAGATGACATTATAGCCGATTTTGGTTGGAACTTCAAAAGATTTGAAAGAAACCGAAATTGGTAAATTAAACAGAATTTCAGACTGTATTAAAAACCTGCAAGGTGAATGAGTGAGTGTAGTTTTATGCCGCTTTTAGCAATATTCCAGCAATATCACGGTGGGGGACACCAGAAATGGGCTTCACACATTGTACCCATGTGGGGAATCGAACCCAGATCTTTGACATGACAAGCTTTAACTACTAGGCTACCCCACTGCACTGCGATCGCTTGTGTATTTTAGTTTGTTCAGATCTATGATAGGAATTTGCAAAATATTTTTTTGTATCATACATACAGAATACTAAACCAATATTAAGAAACACTGACAAGCGAAAGCAATATACACAAAAATATTCACGAGTTTCATAAAATTGGTATTACACGGGAGCGAGTTAGTATTTTATATGTAAATTGCCATTTATAACTCTCTTTTTTTTTTTTAAAAGAATTTCACTGTCGGGTTTGAATAGTGGTCCACAGTATTATCCAAATGAGTTTTAACAGAATAATACTTCAAACACGTCAAATATTTATTACCATACAACGGCCTACCTTTAGAATCCAGAGGTCCATTCCAGAAAGCTATCGTACCGCTAAAGTTATCGTAACTCCCATAACATAGACTAACGACTGCACCACAAAGTCTACAATCATGTCACAATACCCTATGACGTAATTTGTATAATTTTGTTTCAAGATCAACAGGCGAAACAATGTCATGTGATGTCAGCCTAGCAACAGGGTTGCTGGGGACATCGTGTATGCATAAGCTCCTCTGAGTGATCTATCATCTCTGCACGCTATGTCATTTAAAAAACCAGGGATGTCAGGAGTTTTCAGTATTTGTTCGTTACATAAGCACACGCTTTGGTATTACACAACGAGCAATACAGCTGTATGTTTATGAAAAAGGTGATGTCTTGAGGGGCAAATAATAAATGAATCTCAAATCTCAAATTATACATTTTATAACACAATGTCAGTCGACAAGAAGAAGCCAGACACAACAATTAATGCATAAAAACACGTCGGCAACAAGGACGATGATGGTATTAAGAAGATGAGTATTATGATACAGAGGAATACAGATATTTGGTCTGCCAATACAAGGTCAGATTATAATTACATAGAGTGAGTGAGTGAGTGAGTGAGTATGTTTCATGCAATTTTTAGCAAGATACCAGCAATATCATGATGAGGGACACCAGAATCAATACACAGACTGAAAAGCGACGATGTGACAAAATATACTCCCCCTTACAAATATTTCCTCCGTTTTAAACGTAAATTCTTCTCAAAATTACAAAAATGAGACACATCTCAAATATAAAAATCATCTGCAGCTATCCTACAACCTGAAATATGGTTTGTTTCAAATATTTTGTTACTTCCCAACTTCATACTTCTAACTTCATATACCGTATTCGACGTAATAAGCGCCCGCTCTAATAAACACCCACGGCGATATTTGCTAATATATTGGCTAGTGAACAATCCCAATTAGCACCCCTTCCGATTGATCAATGTACACAAGACTTATTTATTCGTGTATAATATACACTCGTTATGGGCAATTAAATTCTGGAAAAATATATCTGTCGTATATAAACATTTCAGGCTGTCAGCATAAACCATGAAAAATTTATCCCTTAACTGTGTTTTTTTTCACCAAAATAATATTCTAATAAGAGCCCCTTTTTCTAATTTTGAGATCGCCCTGTGCGCTTATCACGTCGAATACGGTAATCATTTTATATCTTCTGTCATGTTTTCAAATCCCCAAACTTGAAAATATTTTTTCCAAATTGTTTTTAGGAAATGAAACGTTTACAGTATCAGTCAAGTTCTTGTCATGAAGAGGCAAAAATAATTGTCAACAAGATCTTCAGCTGTCATCTTTTCCATGTTACCTGCTCGAGGAGCCTGGAAGTGGGATGGAGATGCAAGAATCTGGCAATGATGCTCACAATACTCCATCCCCCACAAAACATGCAAGAGTATGTACAAGCAACACAGAGTTTATATTTATTTATCAGGGACGTATTCACAAACAATCCTAAATACCATAAACTTTGTTTGTTTGTTTGTTGTTTAACGCCGCTCTCGGCAATATTCCAGCTATATGACAGCGGTCTGTAAATAATCGAGTCTGGACCAGACAATCCAGTGATTGACCTCATGAGCATCGATCCATGCAATTGGGATACGATGACGTGCATCAACCAAGACAGCGAGCCTGACCACCCGATCCTGTTAGTGGCCTCTTACGACAAGTATAGTTGCCTTTTACGGCAATACATTATACATATAATTATAATACATTATAACAAGTGATTGCAAAGTCATATACCACACAACTGTTGATAGGGATATCTTATTTCCTGATCATCATCATCATCATCATCATCATCATCATCAACAGCTGAGCAGTATATCGGATTCCTATCCATGGAAGGATTCAGATCTGTGGCAGATGTTCGACAGATTATTCAGCTATGGTACAACTTGGACCACCCATTGAACATCTTAGGGGACTGAATTTTGTTAGCAAGAGAATATTTTGCGTCAAGACATACAATTCTGTTCTCTGAAAGGTGGGGCCAAAATGTTCTCTCTTCAGGATGCTCGTCATCTTCAGCGAACAATATTGTTTTTGTTTGTAAAATCTGAAGCAAAATGACTGTTTTTGAGTATTTTCTGGAACAAGTTAATTTCTTTCAAAATATTCCGGACTCCCTCAGATCAAATACAATCTCATCAAAATCAGATCTTAGTTTTCGCTACTGCTAAACAAAGATCTGAGGACATCCGATTACAGGTCATGTCAGAACCACCTTACGTGAACTTTAACCGACCAATGAAATGACTGAAAAGAAATCGACATTAGTCAATCAAAATGCAGCTTTCTCAAGCTTTACGACACAAGTTTCAAACTGTCGACTATGCTTCATTACATATTTTGATGTATTCCGATTAAAAATTTTAAAATTCTTTAATGGCTTATAGATGGCCTAGATTGTATGGATATAATCATATAACCTGTAACTGTCGTTTGGAATACCCCGTGATAAATATTTTGTGACGCTCTGATTGGTTGGATGAAAGGTCGTTCTGACGTGACCTGTAACGCGATGTCCTCAGATCTATGTTTAGTGACAGCGAGAACGAAGATCTGATTTTAATGAGATTGGATCAAATAATACATAATGGTTCAGCAGATCGTAAAAAACTGGAGTAATGATTCAAGATGAATATATGCCAAGAGGACGTACATGGTAACGAGATTCTGAGGGGTACGAGTGAGTGAGTTTGGTTTAACGCCGCTTCTAACAGTATTCCAGTTATATCACGGCGTGTCAGCTTGATGTGGGAGGAAAGCCCAAAGTGATGCAGGTCTCAGACGTTTACCACTTCGATGAAACCCACGAGCACGGGTATGGTGCTGACAAACCTAGAAACATAATCGAGGCGAACCGGGATTCGAACCCACAATCATAGGTTTCTGGCGTGCCCAGGGGACGCAACTCTGCACAGCGAATCGCGGCGCCTTAGACAACTGGGCCACCCGTGCTTTAGCATTGACACAAGATAAGATGGTTCTGCAGATCATAGAAGACTGGCACAATGATGGCATGTGAGTGTAGCAAGGTACTGGATACAACACTAAAAGTAGCACATACATTCTTCTGTCAGTATCAAGTTCCGAGATCAATTTCTGGAATAAGTTTAAGAATATATACAATAGGGCTGGGGCGAGTCCGGATTTACTATCCGGGTACCCACACCCCTATTACCCAACCCTACCCGGGTACCCTCTGTTGGTTTCAAGAGATAGGTACTCGACCCTACCCGGGTACCCGCTGTTGGTTTCAAGAGATAGGTACTCGACCCTACCTGGGTACCCGCTGTTGGTTTCAAGAGATAGGTCCTTGTCCATACACGGGTACCCTCTGTTGGTTTCAAGAGATAGGTACTCGACCCTACCCGGGTACCCGCTGTTGGTTTCAAGAGACAGGTACAAAATGTCCGATTGGGAATAGTTTGACAGTAGCCCGAGCAAAATGTATTTAGATACACGTATAAAACGATCTGGTGATGCATATACAATGAAGTTCATAGAAGTTTTATCTTTATTCAAACATATATAAGTCATAAGGAATGCGTTCATAGTCTTGAAGAAATGCAAACATAAGTGACGTGTGTAACCATGTAGTCATAGTGATTTTTTGTCATGAAACAATATATCACGTGACTAACCACAGGTCCGGGTGGGTACTGATTATGATGGGTGGGTATTGATTACTAACCTGATTACTCGACTGATTACTTGCCTGATTACTTGATTGATTACTTACCTGATTACTCGACTGATTACTTACCTGATTACTGGACTGATTATTTGCCTGATTACTCGACTGATTATTTGCCTGATTACTTGATTGATTACTAACCTGATTACTTGATTGATTTACCACTTCGAAGTGGCAATTATCAGTCGAGTAATCAGGCAAATAATCAGTCGAGTAATCAGGTAAGTAATCAGTCGAGTAATCAGGTAAGTAATCAGTCGAGTAATCAGGCAAGTAATCAATCAAGTAATCAGGCAAGTAATCAATCAAGTAATCAGGCAAGTAATCAGTCGAGTAATCAGGTAAGTAATCAATCAAGTAATCAGGTAAATAATCAATCAAGTAATCAGGCAAGTAATCAGTCGAGTAATCAGGTTAGTAATCAATACCCACCCATCATAATCAGTACCCACCCGGACCGAGGAGCCGAGTTACCCGTCCCAGCCTTAACATATAATGCTGAGCCCTGGTAGGGGCGTTTGTAAAGATTACATACAGATTGGTCCAGGAGTTGGTCATGGGTCGCTTACCAGATCAGGGCGCTTAACATGGAATATGGTACGAACATCTGGTAGAAGTCTCAAGTATTCCCTTAATCTCTAACACAGGAAACACAGATGTATGTGACAGTTCAGTTGAATTGCTGACAAATGTACATTAGAGTTAGACAAGCAATTCCACAGCTGGTGAAATCCAAAGTCATGTTTACAGTGAGAGAGACTGACATTTTTATTGTGTAAAAAACAGCTCAAACTACAGTTGAATCATCTCCATGGAGCTGTTTAACTGGTTGTTAAAGGGGTAATCAGTCGAGTAATCTGTCGAGTAATCAGGCAATAATCAGTCGAGCAATTAGGTAAATAATAAGTCAAGTAATCTGGCAAGTAATATGTCGAGTAATCTGCCTTGTAATCAGGCAATAATCAGTCGAGTAATCAGGCAAATAATAAGTCGAGTAATCAGGTAAGTAATCAATCAAGTAATCAGGCAAGTAATCAGTCGAGTAATCAGGTTAGTAATCAATCAAGTAATCAGGTTAGTAATCAATCAAGTAATCAGGCAAATAATCAGTCGAGTAATCAGGCAAGTAATCAGTCAGGTAATCAGGTAAGTAATCAGTCGAGTAATCAGGTTAGTTATCAATCAAGTAATCAGGATAATAATCAGTTGAGTAATCAGGTAAGTAAACAGTCGAGTAATTAGGCAAAAAATCAGTCAATAATCAGGAAAACAATCAGTCAAATAATCAGTCAAGTAATCAGCCAATAATTTGATCTGGACAGATGGATCAATCGATTATTGATCTGCTATCCTGCCTAATCGAATTTGAACAAGATGTTTGGAACATCTAGGAAAACCTTGGAACTGATGCCCTCTGTAATTGAGGCCAGAGTTGAGTGGACAGCAGTAAGGCACTCGATCAGATCGGCCGCTTCAGGGTGAACAAGGACCAATAATTTGACTGATTCAAGGTGAACAGATAAACTGAATTGGACAATCTTTTGTGCAGTTTTGAACTTGGCAATTTCTGGTCTTACAAAATGCTATAAACTTAAATAATGCTTGTTTTGGAATATAAGTCTGCAGACGTACATTGACATTTTAATTGTCACACTGAGATATACCTGATGTCATCATTGAACAAGAGACTTTGTCAGTACTGAAATATAGCGGAGTTCAATACTGACAAATTGTCAAAATTCACATTAATGATGTCAGCAATGACAATGTTGACACTAAAACCTAGTTGATATAGCATTGGGATATCACTTATTTAAAATATCAGACATTCTTGTCAATGTCGACACTTAATTGATGCCAAGCTCCTCGTACAGCTGAGGTTAGCATTAACTTGATGTCGTCACCGACATTCAGATGACATTAACACAGGACACCAGCCCCTGTTCCACAAAGCGATCGTAGCGCTAAGATGATCGTAACTCCCATTCTTTAACATAGACTTACGACAGTTGTAGCACTACAATTGCTTTGTGGAACGGGGACCTGGTGTCATCATTAATCTCAGATCTGTTTCCGTTGCTGTAGGCGCCATGTTACATGATGACGTCGGTGTCGTCATTGGACAGCAGAATCTCGCGGTCCTGGTAGGGGCGACGGACGCGTTTGACGAGGAAGAAGACGACCATGCAGATGAGGCAGAGGACCAGGACGCCGCCAACGACAGATGCCGAGATGATGGCTGTGTCTGGAGCAGAATGCAGGACATATTGGTATGGCGTTACCACAGTCTGAAGGTGAGGTGAGGTGAGGTGAGGTGGGGTGGGGTGAGGTGAGGTGAGCGAGGTGAGGTGAGGTGAGGTGAGGTGAACTGAGGTAAGGTGAGGTGAGGTGTGGTGAGGTGAGGTGAAGTGAGGTGAGGTGAGGTAAGGTGAAGTGAGGTAAGGTGAAGTGAGGTGAGATGAGGTGAGGTGAACTGAGGTAAGGTGAGGTGAAGTGAGGTAAGGTGAAGTGAGGTGAGGTGAGGTAAGGTGAGGTGAGGTGAGGTGAGGTGAGGTGAGGTGAGGTGGAGTTAACATTCCCTTCAAGATTATTGCACATAGCGACACATGTGTGTGTGTTTGTGTGTGTGTGCATGTGTGTGTGCGTATGTGCATGTGTGATCAAGCTTAACACTTAATTACATCCATTTCGCTATGCCGAATGTCACGCTTTTCAAATTTGGGATTGAGAATAAAAAAAGATACTTATCAATAAAGTCAATCATCCCACCACTAGGGGAGACTATGGTCGATGTGTTTGATGTTGGCTTGTAGTGGTGTTGGCTTGTAGTGGTGTTGGCTTGTAGTGGTGTTGGCTTGTAGTGGTGTTGGCTTGTAGTGGGGTTGGCTTGTAGTGGTGTTGGCTTGTAGTGGTGCTGGCTTGTAGTGGTGTTGGCTTGTAGTGGTGTTGGCTTGTAGTGGTGCTGGCTTGTAGTGGTGCTGGCTTGTAGTGGTGTTGGCTTGTAGTGGTGTTGGCTTGTAGTGGTGTTGGCTTGTAGTTGGGTTGGCTTGTAGTGGGGTTGGCTTGTAGTTGGGTTGGCTTGTAGTGGGGTTGGCTTGTAGTTGGGTTGGCTTGTAGTGGGGTTGGCTTGTAGTGGGGTTGGCTTGTAGTGGGGTTAACTTGTAGTGGGGTTGGCTTGTAGTGGGGTTGGCTTGTAGTGGGGTAGCGGGGTTAGCTTGTAGTGGTGTTGGCTTGTAGTGGGGTTGGCTTGTAGTGGTGTTGGCTTGTAGTGGGGTTGGCTTGTAGTTGGGTTGGCTTTTAGTGGGTTTGGCTTGTAGTGGGGTTGGTTTGTAGTTGGGTTGGCTTGTAGTGGGGTTGGCTTGTAGTGGTGCTGGCTTGTAGTGGTGTTGGCTTGTAGTGGTGTTGGCTTGTAGTGGGGTTGGCTTGTAGTGGTGTTGGCTTGTAGTGGTGTTGGCTTGTAGTGGGGTTGGCTTGTAGTGGTGTTGGCTTGTAGTGGTGTTGGCTTGTAGTGGTGTTGGCTTGTAGTGGCGTTGGCTTGTAGTGGGGTTGGCTTGTAGTGGGGTTGGCTTTAAGTAGGGGTTGGCTTGTAGTGGGGTTGGCTTGTAGTGGGGTTGGTTGTGTGGTAGTGGTATGGCAAGGACTGATTTGAAGTGGGGTTGGGCTTGTGTGTTGGTTTGTGTTAAGCCATGGTTGAGAGTAGGGCTGGTTTAGGGAGGAGGGAGGGCTGAAGTTGGAGTTGGAAAGAGCTAGCTGTGGATTTGGATTCTAAGGATTGATCTGTTAGTGGTTGGAATTCTTCATGTGGTGATAGTGTTGTATGGTTGCTTGTTTTGGGAGGTGTGACTGTTCCATGTGTTTGTTTATCATAAGGATGTGTTGTTGTTTGATAGGACAGGTGTCTTGGGTAGATATGTATATGAAATTAACACAAGTCATCAAAATCCGATAATTATTTTTATTCCCCATATCGTTTGCGCAGTCTCCACAGAAGTTCAAAAGTCTATTTTGAGCCTAAAATTTTGAATTTCAAGAAGTGACCAACTTCTTGCCAAAATTGTACATTGGCGGTGGTCAAAATCATCAAAATCCGATAAAAAAAATTTATGATGCTTTTAGCAATATTCCAGCAATATCACGATGGTGGACAAGGGAAAATGGGCTTCACACATTGTACCCATGTGGGGAATCGAACCCGGGTCTTCGGCGTGATGAGCCAACACTATAACCACTAGGCTACCCGACTGCCCCACAATTAACACAAAAGGGGCCCAAGGTGATTTTCTGAGCCACATTTAGGGACAATTGGTAATTTTTACAAGCTGTAGAGTTATGAACCAAACAAATGACAGCGTTGGTTGGGTTTAGGCAAATGCGTTGTACTCACTGTTGTTGGTAGGAGGGGCTCCGGTCAGTGGTTGTTGTTTGCTGGGCATAGTGACCACATGGGGTCTCTCAGGGACCGGGGGGCTGACCGTTGAGTCTGAAACATCACGTGATGGATGAGTGAGGGATGAACAGGGAGTGGTCTTTGTTCGCATTATTAAACATCACATTTATATCAACAATAAGACATTTTGGATGTGAGATATACCAACTTAGACATACGCTCAATCTCATTAAAATCAGATCTTAGTTCTCGCTACTGCTAAACAAAGATCTGAGGACATCCCATTACAGGTCACGTCTGACCGACCTTGCGCGAACTTTGACCGACCAATGGAATGACCAATAAGAAGGCAGCTTTCTCGTGCTTTACGGCACAAATTTCAAACTTTCGACTACGCTTCGAAACATATTTTGACAAATTCTCGATTACAAATTTGAAACCTGAACAAAAAACATTCTGGAATGGTTAATAGATGGTCTGGATTGTAAGGATTCAGTCATTAAACCCGTAACTATCGTTTGGAATACCCCATGTTAAAGTTTTCGAGATTGCATGACTAGAAATCACCTTCCGACTGTCACTTTCATGATCTGGTAATCTTGTTTGGATGAAAGGTCGTTCTGACATGACCTCTAATGGGATGTCCTCAGATCTTTGTTCAGCGGTAGCGAGAACTAAGGTCTTATTTTTATGAGGTTGGACATACGAAGAAAACAAAAACTTATGTCATCACTGATCACACCTGCAAGTCCCTACAGACGGCGGCACCCACGCAACACGGTGTCTTTTTTCTTTGCGACTGCGTCAAAGGCCGACACGATCCAGCGCGCACGTATTGTGCTCTACTCAGCGCCAACAAGCGGTGCTATTTGGTGTGTGATTGATTTAATGTAAGGATGGATTACGGTGAGGATTCTCCTGTAAACCTGACAGAGGACATTTTCTTTATACATAAATCCACTGATGCTTGAGAGGAGGGGGTGTCGCATTCATATTGAGTCACATTTTTGGCTAGGGACCAGTGGTCGCATTCTTTTGGAGACGCATTAGTTTCACGATTTACAGTATCAATGAAACATATCACAGCAATATCATATCAATACCATATCAATGTTTCAGCAACTTCATATCGATATCACAGCAATATTTCAGCAATATCACAGTAATATGGGTATTGGAGGTTTAAAGTGGATCACAATATTTTGCGATGCACAAGTTCGTATTGCGATACGTATCACGATATATTGTATAATTCTAAATTTTGAACACAGAAGTGATCTGACACATAAAGGTATGAATTGAAGTTAATAAATGGAACAAAACAAGATTAGGGCTGAAACGAGAACCCGGGACACCGATGCATCGTGATACACTCCATACGATACGGTGCGCGATTTGTGAGCTGCTGTATCTCGATTTTTCACGATATGTTTTTTTTAATACACTTTTATCACAGATACATTTTAAATGTGTCTTTAATGAATTTCAAAACCCTAACCAAGTCATATAAACATAGGGACAATATAATTTTCGCTACACACACGTACGTCTTTGAAAATACAGCGGCTAGGCTAGCTTTGTATATCAGTAGCAGTTCAAGCTTTCTGATTGGCTGAGCGGTCTCTAACTCAAACATGTCGGGAAAAGCAGACGCTCGTCCTTTGCTAGAGTAACGACTCTGGACTTACTGTGGGGAGGTGAGGTGAAATGGGGTTTAACGTCGCGTCCAAGATTATTGCACTTATATAGCGACGTGCATGCACGTGTGTGTGGCTGCTTGTACTAGTCCGGACTGATGCCGATTTATAGTGCTAGCTCACTGAGATACCATGCCGCAGTTTAACATGAATACCCCACTCAGACACAGTATACTGACTCCGAGCTGACCAGTCCTTGTTTTCGTCCCTTAATGCCGAGCGCCAGACAGGGTAACAACAAGTACCATCTTTTAACGTCTTTTGGTATGACGCGGTCGGGGATCGAACCCCGGACCTTCCGCTCTCCGGGCGGACGCTCTACCACTAGACCACGTAGGCGGTCTGGGACTTACTGTGAAAATGGCAAGTCACTGGTACTTATCTAGTCCATGTAGGACTGTTACTTTTGTGTTTGCGAGACATTACATGGAAATGGCAGATGATTCATAAAGTTCAAATACTCATTACAGTATATATTTTATGACTCATGAACATTCATTCACTTTCATTTAATTTTTAATTTTAATAAACAAAGTTTAATTTTAATCTCTTGTCTTCTCTTGTCACTATGTGTATCGTAGCGTATCGAGAACTGTATCGAATTGTGATCTAAGTATCGAGATACGTATTGTATCGTGACCTAGGTGTATCGTTGCAGCCCTAATACAGTTTACTCAGTCAATAAATACGCAATCATCTTGGGGCCAAAGGTGAATGCTCCGGGACAGCGAAGGCATTTGCTAAGTATATAACAGTAAAGACATCATAAAAATTATTTCAAATAACCCTATATATCGCGCATGAAAAAATGATATTGTGATATGTATCGTGGAAAAAATGCACCTCAATTTACTGACATACCGATAATACAGCACATCCTTTATATAACATCCATGTCATATTAATACCACAGCAATCTTTCCTATAAGTATTAATACCACAGCAATCTTTCCTATAAGTATTAATACCACTGCAATACTTCCAATAAGTATTAATACCACTGCAATACTTCCAATAAGTATTAATACCACTACAATCTTTCCAATAAGTATTAATACCACTACAATATTTCCAATAAGTATTAATACCACTACAATATTTCCAATAAGTATTAATACCACTACAATATTTCCAATAAGTATTAATACCACTACAATATTTCCAATAAGTATTAATACCACAGCAATCTTTCCAATAAGTATTAATACCACTGCAATATGTCCAATAAGTATTAATACCACTACAATATTTCCAATAAGTATTAATACTACAGCAATATTTCCAATAAGTATTAACACCACTACAATATTTCCAATAAGTATTAATACCACAGCAATCTTTCCAATACGTATTAATACCACTACAATATTTCCAATAAGTATTAATACCACTACAATATTTCCAATAAGTATTAATACCACTACAATATTTCCAATAAGTATTAATACCACTACAATATTTCCAATAAGTATTAATACCACAGCAATCTTTCCAATAAGTATTAATACCACTACAATATTTCCAATAAGTATTAATACCACAGCAATCTTTCCAATAAGTATTAATACCACTACAATATTTCCAATAAGTATTAATACCACTACAATATTTCCAATAAGTATTAATACCACAGCAATATTTCCAATAAGTATTAATACCACAGCAATATGTCCAATAAGTATTAATACCACTGCAATATTTCCAATAAGTATTAATACCACTACAATATTTCCAATAAGTATTAATACCACAGCAATATGTCCAATAAGTATTAATACCACTACAATATTTCCAATAAGTATTAATACCACTACAATATTTCCAATAAGTATTAATACCACTACAATCTTTCCAATAAGTATTAATACCACTACAATATTTTCAATTAGTATTAATACCACTACAATCTTTCCAATAAGTATTAATACCACTACAATATTTCCAATAAGTATTAATACCACAGCAATATTTCCAATAAGTATAAATACCACTGCAATACTTCCAATAAGTATTAATACCACTACAATATTTCCAATAAGTATAAATACCACTGCAATACTTCCAATAAGTATTAATACCACTACAATATTTCAAATAAGTATTAATACCACAGCAATATTTCCAATAAGTATTAATACCACAGCAATATTTCAGCAACTTAATATCAGCATCACAGCAATATCTCAACCAATTAAGTGTTATGTCATCAATATGTTAGGCTTAAAAAAATAATAGTCTTGGTTGTCAGGCGCCACCCACATCATCATAAATTCTGCTGCACATTTTGTTTTTATTTCCATCTTCAAAAAAATATAAAATTCCTAATACTTAAACACAATGCAAAAAAAAAAATGAAAATGGAAACAAAAACGACATGTGCAGTGAACTCTATGATGATGTGGGCAGTGCCTGAGAACCAAGACTATTATTTTGTTTAGCATTATATGACTACGAGGTCAGTACCTGTTTATACGGACCATGCCTTGGTTAATATTGCTTTTTACCCGTGAAGATCTGAGGTAGAATAGGTCTTCAGCAACCCATGCTTGTCCTAAAAGGCGAATATGCTTGTCATAAGAGGCGACTAACGGGATCGGGTGGTCAGGCTCGCTGACTTGGTTGATGCATGTCATCGTATCCCAGTTGCAAGGATTTTACCCGTGAAGATCTAAGGTAGAGTGAGTGAGTGAGTTTGGTTTTAGGCCGTTTTTAGCAATATTCCAGCAATATCACGGCGGGGGACACCAGAAATGGGCTTCACACGTTGTATCCATGTCTGGAATCGAACCCGGATCTTCGGCGTGACGAGCAAACGCTTTAACCACTAGGCTACCCGACCAAGGTAGAATAGGTCTTCAGCAACCAATGTTTGCCCTAAAAGGCGACTATGCTTGTCGTAAAAGGCGACTAACATGATCGGGTGGTCAGGCTCGCTGACTTGGGTGATGCATGTCATCGATCCAGATTGCGTGAACTGATGCTCATGATGTCAATCAGCTCTCTTCACTTTCTTCAAGTTGTGGCCAATTTGGTTTCATGTGCGACCTACATTAGCATTTTGCGACCTGTATTTATTGCTCCGTTGCCAGTTGCTCCCATTGATACAATAAGCCAGGCAGGGAAAATGGAAAGAAACTTGAGTACATCATTGCTTGTATGTATGGACATCATGACATCCCTGTTTGGGGTGTAGTGTAACTCCTTACAGTGATAGACCGCCTCCGTGGTCTAGTGGTAGTGGTCGATCCCCCGCCGCGTCATACCAAAAGATGTTAAAAGATGGTACTTGTTGTTACCCTGTCTGGCGCTCAGCATTAAGGGGCTAAAACAAGGACTGGTTGGCTCGGAGTCAGTATACTGTGTCTGAGTGGGGTATTCATGTTAAACTGTGGCATGGTATCTCAGTGAGCTAGCACTATAAATCGGCATCAGTCCGGACTACGCCCACCCACCCACCCAACAATCCCAATTAGCACCTGTACCGATTGATCAATGTACACAAGACTAATTTATTTGTGTATAATATGTGTGTTATATGCATCCTTAATTATGGGAAATTAAATTCTGGAAATATTTATCTGTCGTATATAAACATTTCAGGCTGTCAGCATAAACCGCAAAATTTACGATCTTTCAACTCGTTTTTCACCAAAATAATATTCCAAGAAGAGCCCCCTATTTCTAATTTTGAGAGCGCTCGGGGCGCTTATTATGTCGAATACGGTAATGTGTGTGATAGAAATCTGTGCGAATGCATAACGCAAACACTGGAATAAAACAAAAAGGCAGCAAGAGTGAGTGAGCGAGTATGGTTTTACGCCGCTTTTAGCAATATTCCAGAAATATCACGACAGGGGACACCAGAAATGGGCTTTACACATTGTACCCATGTCGGGAATCGAACCCGGGTCTTCGGCGTGACGAGCGAACGCTTTAACCACTAGGCGACCCGACCGCCCCCGGCAGCAACAGCAACACATTAGAACACGTAGAACAATTTGAATGTTTTCTCGTCCTGTCTTAATAATTAATTTCTAAAACACCCTAAATCAATGTGGCTCCTAAAAGTTTGAACCTAGAAAATATTGCCAGGAGCCAAGTGCCTCCAAGGAAAATTGTAGCTTGAAGTGCTTTAGTCCATGTTATGAACCTATCACTGCCAGCAGCAAGGGTGGATCCTCTCTCACATAATTTTACTACGTCCGTCACGCCGAAGACCCGGGTTCGATTCCCGACATGGGTAGAATGTGTGAAGCCTATTTCTGGTGTCTCCCGCCGTGATATTGCTGGAATATTGCTAAAAGCGGCGTAAAATCAAACTCACTCACTCACTCACTACATTTGAGGGGGGGCACGGGTGGCCCTGTCGTCTAAGGCGCTGCGATTCGCTGTGCAGAGTTGCGTCCCTTAGGCACGCCATAAACCTATGATTGTGGGTTCGAATCCCGGTTCGCCTCGATTATGTTTCTAGGTTTGTCAGCACCATACCCGTGCTCGTGGGTTTCACCGAAGTGGTAAACGTCTGAGACCTGCATCACTTCGGGCTTTCCTCCCACATTAAGCTGACACGCCGTGATATGACTGGATACTGTTAAAAGCGGCGTTAAACCCAACTCACTCACTAACTCACTCATTACATTTGAGGAAGAGAATTTATGGATGTCAACTTCTTTATCATCAGGACCACAATGTTTCGGAGTACATATCACACCCCCCCTGGAATCCACCCCCCATCTAGATCTGCCTATGTGCAGTCCTATAAGGCATTTACCGTATTCGACGTAATAAGCGCCCAGGGCCCTCTCAAAATTAGAAATAGGGGGCTCTTATTAGAAACAGAGTTGAAAGATAAATTTCGTGGTTTATGCTGACAGCCTGAAATGTTTATGTATGACAGATATATTTTTCCAGAATTTAATTGCCCATAATTAAGGGTGCATATAACACACGAATTATACAGGAATAAATAAGTCTTGTGTATATTGATCAATCGGAAGGGGTGCTAATTGAGATTGAGCCAATATGTTAGCAAATATTGCCGTGGGCGCATATTAGAGCGGGACGCTTATTACGTCGAATACGGTATTTGAGTGTGGGTGAGTACAGGTTTTCTCCGCTTTTAGCAACATTCCAGAAATATCACGACACGGGACACCAAAAATGGGATTCACACATTGCACCCATGTCAGGGAATTGAACCTGGGTCTTCGGCGTGACGATCCAACGCTTTAACCACTAGGCTACCCGACCGCCCCTCATCATCAACTTAGCAATAACATAGCAATCATTCAACATCGTCTCAACCTGCCTCAATATCTCAGCGGTAGACTAGGTCTTCAGCAACTCATGCTTGCCGGAAAAGGCGACCTTGCTTGTCGTAGGAGGCGACTGACAGGATCGGGTGGTTGGACCCGCTGACTTGGTTGATGCATGTCATCATATCCCAATTGATGGATCAATGCTCATGATGTCAATCACTGGATTGTCTGGTCCAGACTTGATTATTTACAGACCGCCGTCATATAGCTGGGATATTGCTGAGTGCGGCGTTAAACAACTAACAGTATCTCATCAGTATTAGCAGTGTTCGAAATACCTGCCTGCCCGACCGTCCGAGACGGGTTGATTTCAACTCGGGCTGCCAGATTTTCAAATCCCCCTGCCCGACGGTCGGGTTATATTTCATATGTAAAAATATTCTAAATATTTCAGCTAGCCAGTCCGATGGTCTGGCTGAAAATTTTGGGAGTTTCATACCCTGGTATTAGTAATATATAGAGGATTCATCACGAGTGTTTTTTAATATGGGAAATATCAACCGAGTCTTAGTTAATCGGTATTTGCCGAGCCTTTGGCGAGGCAAATACCGATTAACGGGACGAGGTTGATATTTCCCATATTAAAAAACACTCGTGATGAATTCTATTTATCATTTTCACATTTTTGCTTCCCAATTAAGGAATAATTGCATTAAACATTAACATCAGCAACTTGTCGAAATCTTACGTATAGATCGTGCGTAGTGATACATGTTTTCCATAGCCGTGTAAACCAAAATAAACAACCTCTTAACTCCTTTATGACATATTCCTTCGCTGAGAAAAAAAGTTCCTCGGATTATTTTAAACAAAATACTTGAACAGACTTTTGCAGAATAATTGAAATAATGTCTCCAACATCAAAGGTATCCATGTTGTTTGTAAACACCTTCTCACGTGCACCGGCGAAAAAAGTCCCACTTCCGGTTATCTAATTTGCATATCTAATTTGCATACTTATGTCACTGGGGTATGACATACATGTTTTTATGTCATAAGCTTATGTCATGGATAAATGCTTTAGTTAAATGATAAAAACATATATTACCTCTGGGAACTCCAACATTGCAGACTTCTTGGAAGATGGAGAAGGTGTACCCCTTCTTACACTTGCACCTCCCCTGGATGCAGTCCTCGTTGGGGCCGCACTGACGCGGGTAGGAACAGGTCATACCCATGCGGTTCTTGGACTCACATCTTCTTTTCCTGGGGTCGTATTGAAAGTTGGGTCGACAGACGCATCTGCTTGTTCCGAGGTCACACGCTTCCTTCGGGCTGCAGATAAACGTGTCCTCTTGACAGGTGTGGTTGAAGGTGTTCGACACTGGAACATGGAACAGGAACATGGGACAGGCACTACAGGACATGGGACGGGAACTACACAACATGGGACAGGAACTGTAGGACATGGGACGGGAACTACAGGACATGGGACGGGAACTACACAACATGGGACAGGAACTACACAACATGGGACAGGAACTACAGGACATGGGACAGGAACTACAGGACATGAGACAGTAGCTACACAACATGGGACGGGACTACAGAACATGGGACGGGAACTACACAACATGGGACAGGAACTACACAACAAAGGACAGGAACTACACAACATGGGACAGGAACTACACAACATGGGACAGGAACTACACAACATGGGACAGGAACTACACAACAAAGGACAGGAACTACACAACATGGGACAGGAACTACAGGACATGGGACAGGAACTACAGGACATGGGACAGGAACTACACAACATGGGACAGGAACTACAGGACACGGGACGGGAACTACACAACATGGGACGGGAACTACACAACATGGGACAGGAACTACAGGACACGGGACGAGAACTACACAACATGGGACAGGAACTACACAACATGGGACAGGAACTACACAACATGGGACAGGAACTACACAACAAAGGACAGGAACTACACAACATGGGACAGGAACTACAGGACATGGGACAGGAACTACACAACATGGGACAGGAACTACAGGACATGGGACAGGAACTACACAACATGGGACAGGAACTACACAACATGGGACAGGAACTACAGGACATGGGATAGGAACTACACAACATGGGACAGGAACTACAGGACATGGGACAGGAACTACACAACATGGGACAGGAACTACACAACATGGGACAGGAACTACAGGACATGGGACGGGAACTACAGAACATGGGACAGGAACAACAGGACATGGGACGGGAACTACAGGACATGGGACAGGAACTACAGGACATGGGACAGGAACTACACAACATGGGACAGGAACTACACAACATGGGACAGGAACTACAGAACATGGGAAGGGAACTACACAACATGGGACAGGAACTACAGGACATGGGACAGGAACTACAGGACATGGGACAGGAACTACAGGACATGGGACAGGAACTACACAACATGGGACAGGAACTACACAACAAAGGACAGGAACTACACAACATGGGACAGGAACTACAGGACATGGGACAGGAACTACAGGACATGGAACAGGAACTACAGGACATGGGACAGGAACTACACAACATGGGAAAGGAACTACACAACATGGCACAGGAACTACACAACATGGGACAGGAACTACAGGACATGGGACAGGAACTACACAACATGGGAAAGGAACTACACAACATGGGACAGGAACTACACAACATGGGACGGGAACTACAGAACATGGGACAGGAACTACAGGACATGGGACAGCAACTACAGGACATGGGACAGGAACTACAGGACATGGGACAGGAACTACACAACATGGGACAGGAACTACAGAACATGGGACAGCAACTACAGGACATGGGACAGGAACTACAGGACATGGGACAGGAACTACACAACATGGGACAGGAACTACACAACATGGGACAGGAACTACACAACATGGGACAGGAACTACACAACAAAGGACAGGAACTACACAACATCGGACAGGAACTACAGGACATGGGACAGGAACTACACAACATGGGACAGGAACTACAGGACATGGGACAGGAACTACACAACATGGGACAGGAACTACACAACATGGGACAGGAACTACACAACATGGGACAGGAACTACACAACATGGGACAGGAACTACACAACATGGGACAGGAACTACAGGACATGGGACAGGAACTACAGGACATGGGACAGGACTACACAACATGGGACAGGAACTACAGGACATGGGACAGGAACTACAGGACATGGGACGGGAACTACACAACATGGGACAGGAACTACACAACATGGGACAGGAACTACAGGACATGGGACAGGAACTACAGGACATGGGACGGGAACTACACAACATGGGACAGGAACTACACAACATGGGACAGGAACTACACAACATGGGACAGGAACTACAGGACATGGGACAGGAACTACAGAACATGGGACAGGAACTACACAACATGGGACAGTAGCTACACAACATGGGACAGGAACAACAGGACATGGGACGGGAACTACAGGACATGGGACAGGAACTACACAACATGGGACAGGAACTACAGGACATGGGACGGGAACTACAGGACATGGGACAGGAACTACACAACATGGGACAGGAACTACACAACATGGGACAGGAACTACAGAACATGGGACAGGAACTACACAACATGGGACAGGAACTACAGGACATGGGACAGGAACTACAGAACATGGGACAGGAACTACACAACATGGGACCGTAGCTACACAACATGGGACGGGAACAACAGGACATGGGACGGGAACTACAGGACATGGGACAGGAACTACAGGACATGGGACAGGAACTACAGGACATGGGACAGGAACTACAGAACATGGGACAGGAACTACAGGACATGGGACAGGAACTACAGGACATGGGACAGGAACTACACAACATGGGACGGGAACTACACAACATGGGACAGGAACTACAGGACATGGGACGGGAACTACAGGACATGGGACAGGAACTACACAACATGGGACGGGAACTACACAACATGGGACAGGAACTACAGGACATGGGAGGGGAACTACAGGACATGGGACAGGAACTACAGGACATGGGACAGGAACTACACAACATGGGACAGGAACTACACAACATGGGACAGGAACTACAGAACATGGGACAGGAACTACAGAACATGGGACAGGAACTACACAACATGGGACAGTAGCTACACAACATGGGACAGGAACAACAGGACATGGGACGGGAACTACAGGACATGGGACAGGAACTACAGGACATGGGACAGGAACTACACAACATGGGACGGGAACTACACAACATGGGACAGGAACTACAGGACATGGGACGGGAACTACAGGACATGGGACAGGAACTACACAACATGGGACGGGAACTACATAACATGGGACAGGAACTACAGGACATGGGACAGGAACTACAGGACATGGGACAGGAACTACAGGACATGGGACAGGATCTACAGGACATGGGACGGGAACTACAGGACATGGGACAGGAACTACACAACATGGGACAGGAACTACACAACATGGGACGGGAACTACAGAACATGGGACAGGAACTACACAACATGGGACGGGAACTACAGGACATGGGACAGGAACTACAGGACATGGGACGGGAACTACACGACATGGGACAGGAACTACACAACATGGGACAGGAACTACACAACATGGGACGGAACTACAGGACATGGGACAGGAACTACACAACATGGGACAGGAACTACACAACATGGGACGGGAACTACAGAACATGGGACAGGAACTACACAACATGGGACAGGAACTACAGGACATGGGACAGGAACTACAGAACATGGGACAGGAACTACACAACATGGGACAGGAACTACACAACATGGGACGGAACTACAGGACATGGGACAGGAACTACACAACATGGGACGGGAACTACAGGACATGGGACAGGAACTACACAACATGGGACAGGAACTACACATCATGGGACAGGAACTACAGGACATGGGACAGGAACTACACAACATGGGACAGGAACTACACAACATGGGACGGGAACTACAGAACATGGGACAGGAACTACACAACATGGGACAGGAACTACAGGACATGGGACAGGAACTACAGAACATGGGACAGGAACTACAGGACATGGGACAGGAACTACAGGACATGGGACAGGAACTACAGAACATGGGACAGGAACTACACAACATGGGACAGGAACTGTAGGACATGGGACAGGAACTACAGGACATGGGACAGGAACTACAGAACATGGGACGGGAACTACAGGACACGGGACAGGAACTACAGGACATGGGACAGGAACTACACAACATGGGACAGGAACTACAGGACATGGGAAAGGAACTACAGGACATGGGACGGGAACTACAGGACATGGGACAGGAACTACAGGACATGGGACAGGAACTACACAACATGGGACAGGAACTACAGGACATGGGACAGGAACTACAGAACATGGGACAGGAACTACACAACATGGGACGGGAACTACAGGACATGGGACAGGAACTACACAACATGGGACAGGAACTACACAACATGGGACAGGAACTACAGGACATGGGACAGGAACTACAGAACATGGGACAGGAACTACACAACATGGGACAGTAGCTACACAACATGGGACAGGAACAACAGGACATGGGACGGGAACTACAGGACATGGGACAGGAACTACACAACATGGGACAGGAACTACAGGACATGGGACGGGAACTACAGGACATGGGACAGGAACTACACAACATGGGACAGGAACTACACAACATGGGACAGGAACTACAGAACATGGGACAGGAACTACACAACATGGGACAGGAACTACAGGACATGGGACAGGAACTACAGAACATGGGACAGGAACTACACAACATGGGACCGTAGCTACACAACATGGGACGGGAACAACAGGACATGGGACGGGAACTACAGGACATGGGACAGGAACTACAGGACATGGGACAGGAACTACAGAACATGGGACAGGAACTACAGGACATGGGACAGGAACTACAGGACATGGGACAGGAACTACACAACATGGGACGGGAACTACACAACATGGGACAGGAACTACAGGACATGGGACAGGAACTACAGAACATGGGACAGGAACTACAGGACATGGGACAGGAACTACAGAACATGGGACAGGAACTACAGAACATGGGACAGGAACTGTAGGACATGGGACAGGAACTACACAACATGGGACAGGAACTACAGAACATGGGACAGGAACTACAGAACATGGGACAGGAACTACAGAACATGGGACAGGAACTGTAGGACATGGGACGGGAACTGCAGGACATGGGACAGGAACTACAGGACATGGGACAGGAACTGTAGGACATGGGACAGGAACTACACAACATGGGACAGGAACTACAGAACATGGGACAGGAACTACAGGACATGGGACAGGACTACAGAACATGGGACAGGAACTACACAACATGGGACAGGAACGACAGGACATGGGACAGGAACTACAGGACATGGGACAGGAACTACAGGACATGGGACAGGACTACAGAACATGGGACAGGAACTACAGTCGATGGGACAGGAACTGCACAACATGGGACAGGAACTATACGACATGGGACAGGAACTACACGACATGGAACAGAAACATGAGATAGGAACATGAGACAGGAACATGAGACAGAAACAGAAGACACAAGCACGAGGCAGGATGAGAAGACAGAAACTAAAGTAATCATCCCCTCCACATTAAACAACAAGGAATACAAGGATGTCATCAACATCACGCCTCAAATGAAACAGGAAGTACTTCAAGGTGGAAAACAATCTCTTAGAAAGGGAAACTCAATGTCACACAATGTGCAGATCACAAGAAATAACAACCTCATCACATTACAGCCTTACCGTTCTTGTTGCTGTGTGGTGTGTACGGCGTGGAGGAGACTCCCGGCAGATCACAAGAAATAACAACCTCATCACATTACAGCCTTACCGTTCTTGTTGCTGTGTGGTGTGTACGGCGTGGAGGAGACTCCCAGCAGATCACAAGAATAAAAACCTCATCACATTACAGCCTTACCGTTCTTGTTGCTGTGTGGATTGTAGGGTGTGGAGGAGACTCCAGGGGGATAACAAGAAATAATAACCTCATCACATTACAGCCTTACCGTTCTTGTTGCTGTGTGGAGTGTAGGGCGTGGAGGAGACTCCCGGGGGATACGTTGGCGCGACCCATCTCGGGGGGTGGCAGCTTCCCATGGGCAGTGTGGTAGGTGGGGAGGGGGTGGAACCATTGAGGCAGGGGGGTACAGGGATACTCTCCATGGGGACAATCTCTTTCTGCAGCGATGGTGGCCACATGATCGTTCTCATAAAAGATGTTATCCTGAATTTGGCTGTGATCTGAAACACAAAATGGGAGAAGTAAATGTCTTGAGAATAGTCAGGTTTTCTCGCCGTGGCAAGCTAGAGTGCTGGATGCTGATTGGCGGTTCTAATGTCTTGACAACTAGTTGTGTGTAGTTGACAGTGAAGAGGACTTCTGCTGAATATTCTGAAGATTAGTTTTGAGTGATTGCTGCGAAAATACAGAATTTATGCCAATGATGTAATAGAGGAAGAGGATTCGTAAGAATTATAGGCTTCTGGCACCACTAGGAGATGCAACTCAGCAAACTGTAGCGCCTCAGATGACTGTGTCCCTAAGACAAGCAATAGCCAGGTGATTCACAGAACAACAAGCAAGTGACTTATCAAAACTTTGTCAACATCCAGATGCGACACCTAAGATGCCTACATTTCCTCATTAATTCCAAGACAATGCTGTGTTTCAATTTTGTTTAACAATGTGACAATACTCCCTTATACTATCAATAAAAGCAACGAATGTGCTTATGGGTCACGCACCATAGGGCATGAAGGAGTCAAGATTTCGATTCCGGGTATCGATGGGAGAAAATTAGAACAAAGGCATCATCATGTCTTGGAGAATTACTTATTGATTGCAGAGATCGGGGGTGCATTGCAAGCCACGAATCACTTAGCAAAAGCAATTTTATCGCTCACTCTGGGGTCTGCAACAGCTCGAAGACCATGCACACTCAAAATGGCTGTAATTTCCTGTGCAGAGTTGTATCTCATGGCTGTGCCAGGATCAGCAGTTCAGAATCCAATGTTTGCCTCCATCACAAGTGGAAGCGCCTGGTTTGCTGTTGTTGTATTTGAATCTAGGACCCTACAGACCATCCACCAAACCCATCCAACCCCTTAAATCTGTACCTTCAACCATTAGGGTTACCAATAGGACCCCTTGTATTTTGTACTCAGTCGTCTTCCCCAGGCAAGAGAGTTAACTGACTTAAAAGTCCAGTTTCCACCCTTGCCAAACTAGGCTGGAATTACTGGGCTCGATCGTAGCACCACCAGTGGTTATTACGAGTTATGTCCCTTCTAAACCTCTCCCATTGACCAATCAGATTCCACCTCTCGTATCACTTGCATTGGATTCAAACTAAACGGAGGCGCCCAGTCAAGACGATTTGATTGATAATCAAGATCTATATTGTGTAAAAACGGGTCTTACATCGCAAAGTGCATCAAATCATGTGAGCACCTCGTTTAAAATCATGAAAAGATTTGGAAAATATCTGTTAACAACGAGTTGGCGGTGCACATGCAGATCCTGCAATCGATCGAAATCAGCATGACAGTTTACCAACCGGATTTCGATGCACGATTTTGATTGGACTATGCATTGACTCGTAAGTCCAGCCAAAATATAACTCCATAAAACCAGCCTAGTTCGGCAAGGGTGGAAACTGGACTTTTATAGTCAGTTAACTCTCTTGCCTCGGGAAGATGTACTCAGTGGGCTGAGTGTAACTTAGCTTTAAGGGGAATTTTTGTTACATCACACAAGCAGGATCAGAATCAGGGATTAGAACAAATGTTCAGCTGATTCTGGAACAACTAAGGGACGCAACTCTGTACTGTGCATTGTGGTGCCTTAGCCTGAAGGCCCATATGTCCCCAAAGTGATCACAGTCGTACTAAGCCTGAAGGCCCATATGTCCCCAAAGTGATCACAGTCGTACTTAGCCTGAAGGCCCATATGTCCCCAAAGTGATCACAGTCGTACTTAGCCTGAAGGCCCATATGTCCCCAAAGTGATCACAGTCGTACTTAGCCTGAAGGCCCATATGTCCCAAAGTGATCACAGTCGTACTTAGCCTAAAGGCCCATATGTCCCCAAAGTGATCACAGTCGTACTTAGCCTGAAGGCCCATATGTCCCCAAAGTGATCACAGTCGTACTTAGCCTGAAGGCACATATGTCCTCAAAGTGATCACAGTCGTATGCCAGTGTTACAGAGTGTCACGTTTATCTTAGTGCTAAGTTCGTTGCGACTCACCGACATTTGGATGGTGGAGGCGTTCCTCAGCATGTAGAAGTACAGGAACACATCCACTGTTCCCAGGCTCCTCAGGTGGAAGGACAACCCTGGAACACAATGTTTACAATCACACTTACAATCATGTTTACAATCATGATGCGGTGTGTAGGTGAGTAAATTCGGAGATAACATGTGACTTCAGTTTTATAGAATATTTGATACCCTGACTTCAATTCCAAATTTTACTTGTTTATTTCCGAAATTGCATGTCATGGGCATTTCCTAGAAAATTCCAGCTCTGGTAAGTCACCTGTAATGACCTTGACATTAAATCCCAGCTCTGGTAGGTCACATGAAATGACCTTGACATTAAATCCCATCATCTGGTAGGTCACATGGAATGACCTTGACATTAAATCCCAGCTCTGGTAGGTCACATGAAATGACCTTGACGTTAAATCCCATCATCTGGTAGGTCACATGGAATGACCTTGACATAAAATCCCAGCTCTGGTAGGTGACATGGAATGACCTTGACATTAAATCCCAGCTCTGGTAGGTCACATGAAATGACCTTGACATTAAATCCAAGCTCTGGAATGTCAAATGAGATGACCTTGACATTAACGCAGTGTGTAATGGACTTACCAGGCATCTGGATCTGTGTGTTGTGGGAGATCCTCTTGTTGTAACTCATGTTCTTGTTGGGTACGACCAGGTAGATGTCCATGGAGACTGGGTTGTCACAGTGGTTCAGCCGCATTCCGAAGCAGTAGTCAACCTCGATGTCCGACGAGTCCGGCATGAACGACTACAACAGACACATCAACAACTACAACAGACACATCCAGGGTAATGGCAACTTATAGTGTACTGTTACCTCAGGAGTCGGAGGGGCGGTCGGGTAGCCTAGTGGTTAGAGCGTTCGATCGTCACGCCGAAGACCTGGGTTCGATTCCCGAATATTGGTTATTTACAGTGAACTTGTATGTCCCTTATCATTATAGACAGGGGCAAGGCCATTTGTAGTGGTAGGCCATTTGTACTTAGTGTCATGATAGCTTTTACAGTGTACTTGTATGTCGCTAATCATCATTGGAGCAAGGCCATTTGTAGTGGTAACTTAGTGTCATGGTTACTTACAGTGTACTTGTATGTCCCTGAGCATCTTAGACTGGAGCAAGGCCATTTGTAGTGGTAACTTAGTGTCATGGTTACTTACAGTGTACTTGTATGTCCCTAATCATCATAGACAGGAGCAAGGCCATTTGTAGTGGTAACTTAGTGTCATGGTTACTTACAGTGTACTTGTATGTCCCTAATCATCATAGACAGGAGCAAGGCCATTTGTAGTGGTAACTTAGTGTCATGGTTACTTACAGTGTACTTGTATGTCCCTGAGCATCTTAGACTGGAGCAAGGCCATTTGTAGTGGTAACTTAGTGTCATGGTTACTTACAGTGTACTTGAATGTTCCTGAGCATCGTAGACAGGAGCAAGTCCATTTGTAGTGGTAACTTAGTGTCATGGTTACTTACAGTGTACTTGTGTGTCGCTAATCATCATAGACAGGAGCAAGGCCATTTTTAGTGGTAACTTAGTGTCATGGTTACTTACAGTGTACTTGTATGTCGCTAATCATCATAGACAGGAGCAAGGCCATTTGTAGTGGTAACTTAGTGTCATGGTTACTTACAGTGTACTTGTATGTCCCTGAGCATCTCAGACTGGTGCAAGGGTCTGTGTCATTGGCGAAGCAAGTCATCTGTTTCCTGGGTTCGTTGGACAGCTGGTGAGCCATCCTCTTCCACAGCTGACATGTTGGATGCTGTTCACCCACACAGCAGGCCACCAGCACCACCACCACCACTGCAACATGGAACACGGGCTATAGATAGAGAATGCTACACTCATTCTGGTTAGATACCATTTTTACGAAACGACTGGACTTTCTATGGTATCTGACCGAGCGAAAGCGACTTCAGATACCATAGAATGTTCACAAGTTTCGTAAAAATTGTATCTAACGTGAATGAGTGTGGTATTTTATTTATTACCCATGTCAAAATATGTATTTAGGTGTAAATACCTAAAAGAAATTCTTTCGTTGACAGATCAAACTGAAACCGGTTGCAAATCTGGTTGCGCATGAGTACTGATATATGCCCAAATATGGGCATTGTTGACATTTCTATGCATACGCATTAACAACTTGTTCCTGCTGTTGTGTGTGCATTGTTAGCACCCACGACACCAAGAAAATCTTAAAAGTCAATTAGCGCCGCGCTTTGAATATCGGACAAACAGTCGGTCACTCGCACTGCCAGGGTCCCGTCTGTGCCATCAAAATGTTGCGGTTTCCTTGATCTATCAGCTGAATTGATATCCTGTCCGTACCATTTTGGAAGAGGGAAATCAGAGTGTTCGCCAAAGACATTCATGTTATCTGTACCACCCTATACTGAAGACGTGAAAATCAACAAACTCAAGTATGCTTGCATGTCAGTGACTGCTTCGAACGATCGAAGGGCAAGGTCACCATCGGAATAACAAAAGACAACAGTGATCTACTCACAGCGTTTTACGCAAGGGAATGTTATTGTTCGCATTTGGGATGTTCTGGGCCACAAAATCAGAAGTCCACTTCCACAGAGTTTTTAAATGATTTGTTTCGGAACTGTTCACTTTGAGTGATCTGGTCGTGCAGTCGTGTATGTTTATTCATGAACAAACACCTCCCAAAACAGTGCCACAAAATACGCTTCAAAGGGGACACTGATGGCACAACCAGAGCATCCAACGTAAGTCCAGATATATATCCAGATAGTTAAACATGACTTCATTTCACCACGCTTATACTTTTATGTTGAATCGAATTTAAAGTTGCGAAAATGGTTGGGTGCGTCACGCTCATAGGGACCCTCGATCTATCGATCCATAGTAGTACATTGCAAAATGGATATAGCTTGATTATATGTCTGTAGTCATGGTAGTAGCTCTGTACATAACTAATACAGAATGCAAAGCAAAGTTGATGCGTGTGACTATCTTGTTTGGTTTAATAAAGTGTGTGTAAATGTCTCTCGCTTTCAAGAGATAGCTTCAGTTCTGCATAGTTGCAAATAGAATAACGTCTCGCGATTTTTTATGAATGAAAAAAGTAGTCCCGGTGTGACGGAGGCCACGGTTATCCAATCAAAACGAATAATAGGTAGGGTCAGGTAATAGCGGGATGAGTACCCGGGTAGTAAATTTTGACTCGTCCCAGCCCTAACTCCTATGCTTAATTTTCGAAAGCCGCACATAGAGCTCCAGATAAGCTTTAGGTATTGTGGGTAAAAATTAAAATCAGTTATTCATTTTTAATCAAGAATTTGTCAAAATATGTTTCAAAGCGCAGTCGCCAGTTTGAAACCAGTGCCAAAAAAGCACTAGAAAGCTAACTACTGATTGTCAAAAGTCGACTTCTTGTTAGTCATTCCACTGGATGGTCAAAGTTTGACGTGACCCGTTCTAGGCCATCCTCAATTCTTTGTTTAGCTGTAGCAAGAAGTAATATCTGATGAGATCTGATGTACTTGTTCCTGGACCAGGAAGTAGATATTCAGTCTCTGCTTCTCCCATGCCGAACAGTAGTAGGCACCTGACTGAGTGCTGTTTGTTTGTTTGTTTGTTTGTTTGTTTGTTGTTTATATATGAGAGCGGTCTGTAAATAATCAAGTCTGGACCAGACTATCTAGTGATTGATATCATGAGCATCAATCTACGCAATTTGGATATGATGACACGCATCAACCAAGTCAGCGAGCCTGACCACCCGATCACGTAAGTCGCTTCTTACAAAAAACATAGTCGCCCTTTATTGCCAGCATGGGTTGCTGAAGACCGATCTCGTTAGTCGCCACACGGCAAGCATGGGTTGCTTGTCGTAAAAAGGCGACTAACGGAATCGGCTGGTCAGGCTCGCTGACTTTGTTGATATATGTCATCGAATCCCAAATGAGTGGACCGATGCTCATGATGTCAATCACTGGATTGTCTGGTCTAGACTCGATTATTTTACAAACCACTGTCATATAGCTGGAATATTGCTGAGTGCGCCGTTAAACAACAAACCAACAAACAAACAAAATTCTGAACCAGTTGCTCATCCTACGGAGACCATGTCATATCCGATTAATGTATTTGACGTAATAAGCGCCCCACTCTAATAAGAGCCCACGGCGATATTTGCTAATATATTGGCAAATGAACAATCTAATTTAGCATCCCTTCCGATTGATCAATGTACACAAGACTTATTTATTCGTGTATAATACGCACTCATGTGTTATATGCACCCTTAATTATGGGCAATTAAATTCTGAAAAAATATATCTGTCGTATATAAACAGTTCAGACTGTCAGCATAAACCATGAAATTTATCTTTCAACTCTGTTTTTTTCCACCAAAATAACATTCTAATAAGAGCCCCCTAGTTCTAATTTTGAGAGCGCCCTGGGCGCTTATTACGTCGAATACGGTAACAGTTTTCATTCTATCAAAATATTCCAAACATCTAAAGTGCATGGCACAACCTGCCACACAGAATAATTCATCCCATAACAATGCATGACAACAATGGATGACAACAATGGATGACAACAATGGATGACAACAATGGATGACACACTCATTGTATTCCTTCCTGTGTCAGACTGACACATAGGAAAAAGTGTGTGAACTATACAGTACAAACCTCTGGTACAAATACTTTTGAGTTGACTGTTTGTGTGTTTGTTGTGTAACGACACACACAGCAATATTCAAGCTATATGACGGCGGTCTGTAAATCGAGTCTGGACCAGACAATCCAGTGATTGACATCATGAGCATTGATCCACGCAATTGGGATACGATGACATGCATCTGCCAAGTCAGCGAGCCTGACCACCCGATCCCGTTAGTCGCCTCTTACGACAAGCACAGTCGCCTTTTACTGCAAGCATGGGTTGCTGAAGACCTATTCTACCCCAGATAACATCTTTAGTTCAAATACCAAAATTTTCTACTTGACCAAGGGTAAGAACCGGTAAACTCTACTTGCCCAGTCTGATTTTCAAATCAGGGAAAAGAAGAACAAACAACAAACTTTTTTAAATGATGAATCAGATAATGGAAGTGAATGAGTGAGTGAGTTGGGTTTAACGCCGCTTTTAACAGTATTCCAGTTATATCACGGCGTGTCAGCTTGATGTGGGAGGAAAGCCCGAAGTGATGCAGGTCTTAGACGTTTACCACTTCGGTGAAACCCACGAGCACGGGTATGGTGCTGACAAACCTAGAAACATAATCGGGGCGAACCGGGATTCGAACCCACAATCATAGGTTTCTGGCGTGCCCAAGGGATGCAACTCTGCACAGCGAATCGCGGCACCTTAGGCGACTGGGCCACCCGTGTCCCCCCAGCTAATGGGAGAAAATGACTAGTTAGGTACTTCAACAGCAGCTGACTAACACATGATGCATCTTCTAAGGATCAAAGTTAAAACTGCTGATTTTTCCATATTTGCCGGAAAACTAAATTATATTTCCCCACTTGCCCATCACTGGTCAGGCAAGTCAGGCACCCCTGTCTAAACTTGAACATATTTTATAAGTGTTTGGATATGTATTGGAAAACTAGATAATTTTCTGAAGATTGTCTGAAACTATCGTATGTGTCAGATTGCTCAAGTATATTTGGCTACAGGATGTTCTGGTATCTCTTGCGGTTAAATCCTATATCAACATTATATGAAATTATGTTTCTTAGAGAATCATGCCATGTTCATATCGAAAATAAGGCAGACGCTTTTTGACATGTACTTTCAAACATGGAGATCTACTGTAGATGTTTCTGGCAAATGCGAATATTATAGATATTTTAAAATGCAAATATGCGCAGAAAAATATTTAACTGATGTAAATATAAGAAAATGCAGAATATCATTAACACAATTTGGATGCAGCTCACACAGGTTAATGGTTGAAGATGGCAGGCACAACAAAATACCCAAATGTTTAAGATTATGTAAACAATGTTCTTTAAATGTTGTCGAAGATGAATTTCATTTTCTACTTGTATGTTGTAAATATGATAATTTAAGGAAAAAATATGTTGAACAGAAATACTATGTACATCCAAATAAATACAAGTTTATCTCTTTAATATCACATGTGAGCAAAACGGCTATACAAAATCTTTCTCTCTTTATAAATCATGCCATGTTATTAAGAAATGAATCCTTGTAACATTTCTAACCGCTTCCACATTGTCATGTATTCTGTACTATAGGAATAAACTGATTGACTGATTCAGAAGAAATTCTAAACCTAGACAGACTCGTGTTCAATAGATATCAGAGCTCCAGATAAGCTGCGTATCTGCGTGAAATACGCATCAGAAATGCAGAAATACACAGTAAAATATAATCCAAGCGTATCAAATACGCAATGAACATTACAGATACGCTACAAAAATAAAACTTGTGCGTATCATCAAAATATTGTGAAGTAACCCTGCGTATTCGATTAGCAAATCAGCAACTTATTTTGAAATAATAAACGGGCATTCCGTCAACCTTGCCAATCTCCACGATGACAGTTACATCATGATCATTTGCCATCACACTTTCTTGTGGAAGTATCGTGGTAGTTTTGAGTCCTATAAAGCTCTCGAACCCACACGACACCAGTTTGCAGGATGACTAGATGAATAGTGTTTTTAAATATTTAACTTAAATACCCACATGTGTAAAAACTAGTGGGTAACAGAAATTTGAATACGCAGCTAGAATTACTGATACCCAATGATTTTAAAATGCATGGGTAAAATACCCACAACACCAAAAGCTTATCTGGAGCTCTGGATATGTACACCACAGAAACTCAGGACTGAGACCGGCAAATATATTGTGGAAAACAGGAAAGACCCTCATCAGTGATAGTATAGTTTACATTTCACATCATATTCTTGGGACAGATGATTTCTGGGCAAGAATGCAGTATACCGGACACCTTCGGCCATTTGGGTAAGGGAAGTGCATGATCTTATTCTTTAGTAACGGTTTCTATGTTTTACAGACACCATTTTTGTGGCCTCACTAAAACAACAGGCCGTTTGGGGGGGTTGCCCCACACTCAACGGCCTGAATTAAATGCTTTCGTATGTAAATGAAATGTCTAATTACCAAAGTAGATACAAAATACTCTATTAGTTGCATCAAACAAACATGGCAGATTGGTGTCCGGTATAATGCATTTGTACCGATTTCTGATGGAGCAATATCAGAGCAATAGTAAATGTCTGGCAAATATCACCAATTTAGGCTATTAACACGCTGATGAAAACATCGAGCCACTGTCCCTAAAATATATATGATGTAGATGTTTGTATAAATCTGGGGGGGGGGGGGGGGGGGGGGGGGGTACTTGAAACATGGCCGAGGATAAGGTGTAGTCACAACAACCAAAAATACTCAAGATTATTCAATTTAAATTTAACGCGCACCCATGGACAATACCTAAATTACACTGACACTCCCAAAACCATACCTGCTTGAAAAAGTCCTTTCCACATGACGCTGACTTGAGTCTCTCTGCAGAGGTTATTGACAGACGACTGAACACTTTCAGGATCTTAGTCGGAATCTGCGCAGCTGGGTATCGCAGCCTGGCTTCAGTTAAAACTATTTCTTCCCATCAATCATGTGATTGCCCGCCCACATATGATTTAATCTCGTACTCTTGAGCAATAACGGACATTGTTTACGGATCTGATAAATTCATGTCTCCATTTAATTTCGCCCCACATTCAAGTGATCCGGAACTAGTGATTCAATCATGCTGATATCATCTACTGATCTAGCCTATCATGAGTTCCCTTCCTGTCCTGTTACATAACTAGGCCAATACCATATTCACCGAGTCAAATTTGACTATTTTGAAATAAGTATGATAATCATAGAGACAATGTTTACTTGTTTACAGGCACCACATATCACATGTATTCCTACCTGTCTGCAGAAACCTTTTTGTTGACATCCTCATTTCCTCATACGCCATTTTCCTTTGTTTACATGGACCGCAGAAAACCAAAACATATAAACCAATCAAAATAAATATTCAATACCTCATAGGATGATGTTATTTTTCTCGTCAATAATATACCATAATCGACAAAAATTAATTATGTCTTATAATTAATATACCTGAAAACATATTTTCGGCTGTCATTATCTCCCCTGACCCTTGCTGCTGCATATTTTCGCGGGAAATATGATGTAATTATGGGATAGACTTTTTTCAAAGAATCGTTTGCCGGTATAATATATACAACTGGGTAACTGATTATTCACCCATAGTGAGTAATTTTAAATGAAACCAGGCTCCGTTTCACAAGTTGATCGTATCGTCACGACCATCACAGATTAACCCTCATATCCCATGGTCCCTCACACCCTCTTAGTGGCCCGTTTCAACTGTGAATTAAGATGTCAAACACTGAGTGCGCAAAATCAAATTTATAACCATCATCACCCTAATCATCTCAGTCGTCACATCGTGTATCTCATATTATAGCTAAAATGGATAGAATTATCATTAAACTGCCCGCATGTTATCAGAAATGCGCGGGCCAGTGTAACTTGATAATGCCCTCATATTGCTTGACGACGGGCCATTATTACGCCCGTTGTAAGGTGACGTTATAGGATAGGATAGTGACGTCACGTTCAATAGGGACGTCATCTGGTTTGTTCTATGACTTTTCCATATTTGTAAAAGTTGGTCAGTGACATTCGTGTTGATTGCAGTAAATGTTTCAAATCCGATATTGTTGTTTCTTTTAATTTGATAAAAAATTCCATCCATTTTAGCTATAATAACGGTAACGCTATTTTTCAGGGCATTATCATTTGCAGAAGCCCTCAAGTTAATGGAAGACCTCGGGCTTCTGCAAATGATAATGCCCTGAAAAACAGCGTTACCCTTATATTTTACACAGTGCTACCAGAGACAATATAATAGATATGGTCTCTGGTGCTACGGATTACGAAATATGGTGAGATTAATAAAGTGGGTATACCCGTTATCGAGAAATTAGCTGAGGCAGCTACTATCACAATGTTCGGTACGTGGCATTAGAACCGATATTATAAACATGTGATGAAGATATAAAACTACATAAATCGCACTTATCGTTATTAAAATAGAGGTGCCGTTTTCGTCCGACACATAGTAGCCGTTTTCGCCAGAGAAATCGGTGACGTTTTGCTGAGGTGCCGTTTTAGCCTGCACCCCCCACCCCCCCCCCCCCCCCCCCCCCCCCCCCCCCCCACACACACACACACACACCCCCTATTACCCGACCCTACCCGGGTATACCCACTGTAGGTCTCAGGAGGTGTCTCAAAATGTCAGATTGGGAACATTTTTTCCATAGCCCTGGCAAAACGTATTTAGATACATGTATTAAACAATCTGGTCATTCATACACTGAAGTTGAATCAAGTTATATCTTTATTCGACCATATGAAAAATCAGAAGGAATGGGCGCATAGTCAGAAAGAAATGCGAACATTAGTGACTTGTAGTGTAACCATAGAGTTCAAGATAATTTTTCTTATTAAACAATATATCACGTGACTAACGCGGGTCCGGTTAGTCCCCTGGGTAGGCTACCCGAGTCCTATTCAGTACCCACCCGACCGGGGTACCCGAGTTACCCGTCCCAGCCCTATTCTCGACCTTTTTTTCTGCCATGTTGATGTAGACTGTACTCTCGATCAAAGTAGGGTAATCTATTGAAAGTCTTCAAATCTTATTTGAAATGTTATCTGAATTGTCAGCTATGACTAAACGCTTCATTCTTTTCGTTTCATTACGTTACAATCTGCAATTTTATTTGTGAAGGCTATATTAATAGACGGTCGGTGATTTCCCGCCCCGTGTGCGAAATACGCATCAGTCGGAAAGCGCACGTTAAATCTTAACCCACACACACACACCAAAAATAAAATTTTAATTATAATCAAAAATAAAATCATATATATACTCAACAACAAAAGTTCATGTGACACCAATATTTTCGTGTATTTTTTCAAACAAGTAAAGTTTGGTTTTCAATATTGTAGTACATGTATGGAATCAAGTCACAAAAACGCTGGTACAGAAAAGCATGCATCCCATGCAAAAGTTGACTTTTATGCAAGCCCCAAGCATTTCACTACCCAAGAATGGGTATAAAAACATTTGCGTTAACGGGATTCCATATGCATTGTTTAACATCGTGCTGACAACAACCACTCAGAAAAAAAACAAAATTACGCAATTGTTCATCATTAAGAAATGCCACGCCTGTCCGAAAATGGGCGTCTGCGAGCCATTGGTATGCTTGAAGCAGGATCCAGACAACGTGATGTTGCAAGACAATTTAACGTCCACAGAAACACCATTTGGTGTTTATGGCAATGTTGGCAACAGACGAATGCAGTCAGAGACCATCATCGGAGTGGCAGGCCACGCGTAACCAATAATCGACAAGACGACTGGATTCGAACAACACACCTACGAAATCGATTCCAGCCAGCAACAGTGACTGCTAGAAGCATCCCTGGTCTTCGACGAATATCTTCACAAACCGTACGTCGTCGCCTCAGATGTGCAGGGATTGTCGCCAGAAGACCCGCCAGACGTCCCATTTTGACAGGAAACCACCGTCACGCGCGTCTACAGTGGTGCAGACAGCGTCTACGCTGGACGGCCATGCAGTGGGGACAAGTTCTATTCACTGACGAGTCTCGTTTTCACCTCAGCCACAGCGATGGACGGATTCGAGTGTACCGACGTCGAGGTTAACGTTACGTCAATCATTGTGTCATAGAAGAAGATCGGTTCGGGGCGGCAGCGTTATGGTATGGGGTGTGGGATTACAGCAAGACAGAGGACCCGTTTGATAATGGGGGAGGGAAATCTCAATGGACAGCGCTACCGCGACGAGATCATCGGCCCTCTTGTTCAACCGTTTTTGCGTCGTCATGGCAGAGGCATTACCTTTCATTATGACAACGCCCGGCCTCATATTGCTCGACTGGTTCAGGATTCTCTTCAACAAATCAACGTGAATGTCATCCACTGATCTCTCACCTATATTGACATATACAGTGAGTGAGTGAGTGAGTGAGGTTTTACGCTGTCCTTAGCAACATTCCAGCAATATCACGGCGGGGAACACAAGAAAATATGCTTCACATATTGTACCCAAGTGGGAAATCGAACCTGGGTCTTAGGCGTTACGAGCGAACGCTTTAACCACCAGGCTACCACGCCGCCCTATAAAATATATATAGTAAGAAGAAACACGCTATGTAAATATATAAATACCTTCTTCTTTTTTTTTTGGGGGGGGGGGGGGGGGTTGTGGTACGGGCGGAAGTCTTTCCATTTTTTAAACGGGGTGACATTTCAGACCGCCTCCTTTGTCTAGTGGATAGAGTGATTAGCGGATAGTGGTTCGATCTACAGTCACGTCTTGCCAAAAGACGTTCAAATATAGTACGCACACGCACACGCACACGCACACGCACACGCACACGCACACGCACAAGCGCACACATACAAGCGTAAACCCCATGACACCTCGCCCACCACCTCCTGTCTGTTCAATGCAGGCAGGATACACCTGTCACACCAGACGTCAATCTTGGTGACACGTATGCAATGTACATCACATGTACGGCCCGTGCTTCACGTGCTGAGTGAGGCGAGGCGTGCATTCCCGTGGACGAGTCGGCAGCACAGCCTTCACCAATGCAGACGACATTATGATATTCAGGGATACCGGTGACAACTGCTCACGATGTCAAAGAACCTGTTGATTGTTGTTGTATTTTCAGGTAAGCTATGCCCATCGAATTGCAATAATTAAGGATGTCTGGCGATTTGTTATGAAGATTTTCAGTCATCATTCATCACTCATCACTGAACGTTTTTTCTTGTCACGCGAGACGTATTCAAAATATGTCTCCACAAAGTCAGTTCTTGATTCCACCAGAGACCATACAATAGATCTATTATATGGTCTCTAATTATACCTGGCAATTCCGGGTGTGAGTGAGTGAGTTGGGTTTAACGCCTCTTTTAACAGTATTCCATTTATATCACGGCGTGTCGGCTTAATGTGGGAGGAAAGCCCGAAGTGATGCAGGTCTCAGACGTTTACCACTTCGGTGAAACCCACGAGCACGGGTATGGTGCTGACAAACCTAGAAACATAATGGGGGCGAACCGGGATTCGAACCTACAATTATAGGTTTCTGGCGTTCCCAAGGGACGCAACTCTGCACAGCCAATCGCGGCGCCTTAGACGACTGGGCCACCCGTGTCCCTTCCGGGTTAGAATTGGTCACCATCAGTGTATGCTGATAGAAAGAGGCGACTTCATAGATTGGGTGCACAGACAAAGTGACTTTGTTAATTGTGTTTCAACGTATACCTATTGCGTGGATCATTGCTCATAATGTTAATCACTGTATTGTCTGATCCAGACTCGGAATTCTTTTACATGTTCCCACATGTTTTTCGGGCTAACAATGGACTTGCCTTTGCATGTGTTTGTGACGGGTGCCACCGGTGGGGCAGGATAGGCTTACTTTTCGCGAACACCTGGTATAATTATTATTTGATGATATAGTCGGAATTGTACAATCGACTCTGCTTTATGCAGAGATTTTGGAAAGGGTTTTGTCGCTTTATTACAAGCCGCCATCAGATAGCTGGGATATTACTGACTGCGGCGTTAAACAATATGTAAATATGAGAAAAAGACAATATGGACA